GTACCCTATTCTAGTTGAAATTCTATTACTACACTATGTTTGTTTTGATTCGCTATGAAAGTTTGACAGATAACATCAGGGGTGTGTGGATTCATGCAGAACATGCAGGGGTGAGTGAAATAGCTTGGGACTGCTTGGGACCGTTGTTCTGGTACTGAGTGAGCCAAAAATAATAATGATTTTCTTCGGGACCCAGTGGTCTTAGAGTTACCTCTATGGTAGGACCATATGTTGGCGCGCTCCTTGGCACCAAGGCGGTGAATTCTCCTCGTCACGGCGGAAAACAAGCAGTTGGTCGACCAGTCCAGCGAATGCGGTTTCGAAAGCGGCAGAATAAAAGGAGGACAAATTTTAACTTTTCATCTTTTATTGTCCGATATTAACCGTGTGCAATACAAAAATTAACTGAGCTCATTCACGAATGGGCTGCTTTATTTACACTCATTCACCGATCCGACAACGTATAATGGGCGGAGCGTTGCGCGCTATTCTACGTTTTCTTCTTGTAGGTTGCCTTTGTTGGGCTCTGAACCGTTTGGTGGATTTTTTTTTTAACTTTTGGTTAAAATTTGACAGATGGAAAGTTATCGATTAACCCTGCTATCCGAGCGTGGTTATTTCTGACAGACAAGAAGTTAAATTTTGACAATCGTGGTTGAGTTCTTCTCGAAAACCGGTCGATCGACAGTACAGGATTTTCGAACATGGAGAATAACTTTCGAAATGTCACTTTTAACCACGAGTTAAATTTAACTCGGCAAATGGTTCACAGCCTTGGTGTGCGTCGCTTCTACTGCTGCCGCTGCTTCTGTTGGTGTGCGTCGTTCGGTTTCATTTGGCAGTCTTTCCGGAGCGAACGGTTCGGTCGCGAACACGTCCATTGAAGGCATTACACATGTTGCCACCTTGCCGCATTTAATGTTACATCACAGAGAGCTGTGATTGGAGCTTAAATATGTTATGGATCACCAGAACTGGATCGCATTGCAGGGGGTTGCATAACAAGCCCTGATAATTTCAAATAATATTGGTAGACAAACAATAGAGATACATAATTAATATTGACGGCAAGATTTGTGATGGTTCCATTATTATGAAACTTACTGATTTGTTCCAACTTCTCAACACCAGTTAGGTTAACTTTAACATAAAGTTATGTAAACTGTCATAATAACATACCTGCAAAATCCGTGTCGATGCTTTGTGACACATCCCGCCTGTCTCCGTGCCGTGAAGCGAACCTGATCGTAGCATTGCCACGAATTTTGTAGATTTCAATTGCAATGTTGCATTTAAATGAAATACTGTATTTCCAGATTTCAATTCGATTATATAAGTTTAAAGTGTAAGCATCTTAATCATTCTGTACTGGTAATCATACTTCAAAATATGTTTGCTATTAGTAATGGAAAACTGGATAAAAGTGGATTAATTCTCAAAAAACTGGTAGATTTCAAACTTTAACTTTAACTGTAAGAATTCAGTTTAAACTGGAATGTTGGCATCACCTCGGCCATCACTGCTCTGCACATCATGATACACGATAAATAGAAATTCGTGATAATTATTCCTAAAAATTATCATAAACAATTGGTGCCAGTACAATGAATTCTTCAATTTTTATTTTAGCATATCAGGGGCCACATTGCGCATCTCGAAATCCGAGAAATTCGCGAAACCCACGCCTGTTGTAACAGCCCTGTAAATGTTATTATTGGGTTAGGCTGACAAGAACCACAAACCCATCGGTAAATGTATTCACTTCTACATTCAAAAATTACGGGTGGCGAAAGAGGGGGGCCTCCCTTAGCTTAGTTGATAAAGGCGCAGTTTCAAAACTAGACCATGTTGGAGGTGGCTGCACGCAGAAAAACGGATTTTTGTTTCAGGGCCTAATGTATTTTGTTATTGATTCAAACATATTGTATCACTATTTCAACGAAACATATTTTTGAATCAACAAACAGATTATTGACTCTACAACCGGTTTGTTGATTCAAAAATATTTTTCTTTGAACTAATCGAATAATATATTTGAATCAATACCAAAAATATATTAGGCCCTGAGCCAAAAATATATCCATTTGAATATAAAAATCATTTCTCTGTGTGTGGGTTCGATTCCCAGTCCGGTCTAGGAATTTTTTGGGTTGGAACATTTTTCGACTTCCCTGGGCACAGAGTATGATTGTTCTTGTCACACAATTGCACTAAAGTAAAAATGGTACAGGCATCAAGAGCTCTCAATCAATAACTAAGTTGAGAACACGCAATAAGCTAATATGCGATAAGCAATAAACTTGAAATGCGACGAAGAAGAAGAAGAAGAAAAAGGATGAGTGTGGCGACAGATGTACAGTTTTTCAGGGACTTTCTTAAAAATCAATGAAAATGTGTAGTAGCTATTTTAAGAGATTGATTTCAGGGAACTTCGTACCTGGTTGGGAAACTTAAAAAAATATGAGGGGATGTTATATAACTTCAAAAACCCTCATAAATCTTCAGGAACTTCATGGCACTTTAGAAAACTTTTGTAAACTTCAGGAATTGCGTAGAAGTTCTGGAGATTTTCAGAGGGGTGCAGCATATTTTAAAGGAGTTCAGAGAATATTTAAAAATTTCAAGTGAAACCGTAGAAATGTTTAGAATCTCATATAAATTTTAAGAGCTAGACTTTTTTTTTTGAAAACTCCGTAAAAGTGGGGAACATGTACAATGTATGTTATTACAGAAAATTCTATCAAAACTCCGAAACGTTCTTTTATCTTTAACACGTCTTAAAAAACAACTAGATTTTTTTATATATATAGAACTTCAGGGAACAGGAAATATACGTAATTCTTTAAAGTTTGGAAAGCTTCATAGAAGGGCAGCGAACTTATAGTAGTTGTACAAGTTGAACGAATTAAATTAGAAATCGAGAATCTTCGCAAAACTTCTTTAGAGAGCAAGGAATTATGAAGAAGTTCAGGGAAATTCATAGAAGCTCGGCTAGATTTTCGATGCTTTCGTGGATTTCAGGAAGTTTTGTAGATGGGAATATTGTTAAAATTCAACATAATGTTCACATCAGTTCAGTAATATTGGTAAAAATTGTAGTTTGTGTAAGCTATAAACAAATAGTATAAGTTCAGAAAACTTCGTAGAAGTGGAGGCAACTTTCCAGCAATTCGCAGAACTTTTCACAAATCTAGGAAGCTTCATAGAGGCTCAGGGACAAGTTAAATGAATTGGGAAGAAGTTCAGGGAGATTTGTTTGAGTTCATGGAATTGAATTAAAGAAACTTTGTAGAAGTACAGGAACCTTCGTATAAGTTTTATGGAACTTATTTCAATAAAGTTCTTTGGATGACTTTCAAAGGCTTGAAACATGAAAAGATTTATTCAGTATTATTCTTAAGATCAGAAACGCTTCTCCACAGAATTTCAAATGTTTTCAAAATTAAGATACACCTTAAAAACGAGACCTTTTATGAGACGTTTTGCGTGTAGCAAAAAAAATATACTGAAAATTAAGGCCAACATCAGCCGTAAATAGGCAATTAACTAAGAAATAAAAAATCGCAGCAGAATTTATTTCAGAAAATCTGGGATAAAATATCGCAATTTCTCCATGCAATGCAAAAATAGGTTGCTTTGGTATTTTTATCTTAAATTCTTTGGGGTGGCCCAGTTCTATGTTTGAAGGGAGGGAGCTAGTTTTCCCCCTCCCTTATTTACGCCAATGATCAGAGTAAATAAATAAAACGAAACTACGTGCACTGCTTCATATTCTAGTCTCATTAATTAACTGGACCGAAGAAAATCGCCTTTAGTTAAGTGATTTTTGCACCTAGCTAAAGCATTGCTTTAGAGAAATGTTCAAATGAATTACAAATTACAAATACAAGTGCCTGTAAGTCACACAAACAAAAATATACATATTAAAAAATGGTCCAATTTTGACACGGGTTCGATTCTGGTAACACTAAATTTTCAATCTTGTTGCCAAAATCGGACGCTTGCTTACAGGCGGTTTCTTCACTTCCGCTTAAATATAAAACCAGGTTTACCCATATAGAATTAATCCTGGTTTAAGGCTAAAGTCGAGGTGAAGAAATCTGTATTGGATTGTGCTACATTACCCCGAATGTCACTTCCCCGAACGCTATGGGAAAAGAACGATCAGCAATTAAAAGAAGGCAGATTCACATTCGGAGTAATGTAGCACAACCACTGTTACACGCATAAGGTCCATAAGAATTGCATAGAACCTGAATCAATTATACGAAAATCAACCATGCTGTTCTTCTATTGGGAAGATCACCATAGTAGCAACGAAAATCATCTTTCAGTTTCTATGGTTCAATAAATATTGCCATTTCAGGGAAAACATTACGACGCAACTGACAGCTGCAGCGTGCTATTAAAGCTGATAATCTGACGCCAAATGCTACTTTTTATCTGAATTGGCAATACACCGAGTAATATAAAATATTATTTTTCACTTCATGGGAGCCAAAAATATCCGTTGAGAATAACATTCCATAAAAAAAAACATACTCAGCTGTGAGTATTCAGAGAAGTAGCAAATCTGTCCGCTTAGTACTTTATTCGTCCGTACTATCAACATACTTTTTGGAGGTAAATAATGAAGCACCAACAGATCAGCCAAATTTTTGAACTACGATTAGCAGAATAACATTTTACTGCTCTGCTCTAGCAAATAACGAAAATAGATGTTAGCTTTGCTTTATATTTGATATGATAGGATAGGTGGTGGTACTTGCATCCCAAACACACTACTATAAATGAAGCTTGTTGCCACAGAGAGCGATCACAATATCGATCCGTGGAACACCTTCGATGACCCACACAAGAAGTGCGAGCTGTCCCGCAAAATAATAACAAAAGATTGCAAACAAATAAATCAACAATCGTTCGCGCATCAAGGGGCGAAGAGACGAGGGTGGGACCCAGCATTAATCCCAGACTCCGGCTGAGAAGAGATTTTCACTTACCGCCCTCAATCCCTTTATGCTGCCCCGTGTATCCGCGGCACCTCCAGATCCGACGGCTTTTCACAAAATGTACATACACGAAATGGTAACGCGAACGAGAAGGGGTCAATGATACTTTTTTTTTTCTTCTCGCACTTCACTCAACTCCTCCGGTTCGCCAGGTACCGAGTCGGAAAGTACAATTTTCACGCTTTTTTCACACGGCTTGCTGCGCCGAAGCTATCGCACCATTTTGCACAAGGTTTTGCACTGAAACGGAGGCTAGAATTGCACAATTTAGTGCATATTTCCCGACTGCACTAAAAATTTTCACTTTTTCTGTCGTGACTGTCACTCACTCGCACTCGCACTCTCTTGCAACAAGCAAACAAAACGAAAACGAGAAGAAAAAGGGAGTTTGACGTCGCGTTATGCCCCAGTGGGCTTGGCCACGGGCGATTGAAGTATGGGTTGGTTATGGTATTTTTGCCTTTTTTTTTTTGGCAAGTTTCGTTCAGTTTTGTGACACACTGCACAGTGGAGCGACTCTTAACAAAACCGAGAACAAAACTCCACACAAAAATATATATAATGCACGTCCGCAAATAAAGTAGTTTTCGTCCATAACAATACATATTTCCTTATCACGTAACATCTAGGTACATGAATGTCATTTAGTAGTCAGCATGAATAGTAAGGGGAATGCTACGTGATTTCCAGGTCATTTGCAACGGATTTTTAAGCATATATGCATGTATTATTTAACTGATATGTGTGGGAATCCCAGCGCAGGTGTACACAGGTTATTCAAACCGAACTACCCGTCCCGGGAGTCGCGAGATAACGCAGAAAAATAACAACCGCGGACTACTCAAAATATCATTTGGTATTTATGTGATATCGCGTAGATTTTACGTGAGGCCCGTGGAAATTATTGAAGAAGGATTTTTCACGTAACATCAACGTTTTTTTTTTAAATGCTAGATAAAATGCAGAAAGGGCTTGAGAAAGAAGAAGGGCAAGATTGCCAATAAATCGAAGCTTATCGAATCAAATTGATGTTAACATTTCATTAGGACCAAACTGCTTTATGTCGTTTTCGTTTTTACGGTGTAGCTACACCGGTGCTACACTGCCGTACACCGAAATATTTTAGGGTGTAGAAATAGTATGCACTTTTGTTTGTTGAGCTGTCAAAGACTTACGCTTATTCCTGCTTACACTACACCGCAAAAACGAAAACGACATTAGTAAACAATTGACCACTTTGTCAAGCAGTTTTGGCGTGACTTTCTACCAGCGATTTCACAAAACTGGACCAACTAATTTCAATTTTTTTATGAAACGCAAATGTTGGCTACTTTTCTCGAGGTTCCAGAAGAAAAAATCTCAAAATAATTTGTTATTTCAAAGTTCGAGTGGTAGTAAACGTCATTTTAACCGAGGGGGGCGACACATCTAAATCTCAAGTTTAGATGCTCAACAAATCTCACACTAGCGAGGTATATTTAAAATTAAACATCAACCGCTGAAAATATGAATTATCGCGTATTTCTGTTGTTCATTACATTCCAAGTGGAATTCGAGAACGTAATTTCATTTGAATAGCTTGTTTAACCAGGTCGTTTCTTTTTCATGACTTTTCTGTGATCTTATTTTTTTTTTTTTATTTATTTACATATATATATATACATATCTGTATATTTCCATATATTCCTATACATTTCCATATATTTCCAGAGAGCGAGATAAGGCGCTATAACCTTGGCATTAAATCTGGGTTGAGTTTGAAGTGGGCGGAACGACCGTTTGAGGGCAGTGGCTTTTGACGCGGGTTTCTTTGAATTTAGATGGTGCCCACGCGGACTGTCGGGGCCTTTCGATAAAGAAAGTTTGCTCTATCAGATGCTGGTGTTATATTTCGTGGGTGTGTTTTTGATGGTTGAAGAGTTTGTGTTTGGAGCTGTCGTTTACGGATGGTTGTTCCGCTTGTTTCAAAAGTTTAACCCAGAAATAGCCTGGCTTTTGGTTCAAATGCCAAAAGTTCATCCAAAGACACCAGGAGCATAAATTAAATTTTATAGCAATTATGCTCCCAACGAAAACATATAAATACTATTATTCAATTGTAACTGGAAGCGTTTGGTACGGGAGGTCCACGCTTTTTTCCTTTCCCTTGATCTCAGGTTGTGGAGTGGTTTCAGATATTCATTTCTGACATCACTTGACTCCTTGAAATCCTCTCTGCGGCACATGCTGCGCAGTTGGCCTGGCCGTTGACAAGAAAAATGACGAATTCGTGAAGCCGTCATTTTCCAGGATGCTTTCAAAGTATTGGCTGCGTTAGTGTGAGATTAGATTAGATCAACAAATCTCACACTAGGGAATCAATCTTCGAAAAATTTTCTTTCATTTGTCGCATCTACTTGCATCGCTCATCATTTTTTTGCAGGAAATCTTCAGAATCGTCATCAATCTTCTTTCTATCTACTTAGCGTGCGCGCAGCTAGGCACAGCAAAACACAATCTTTTTTCATCGTAGATAGAGTCGTCCCCCTCGATTTTAACTGCTCGAATGAAGTGGTTAATTAACTACTTCATTCGAGCAGATAAAATGACGTTTACTACCACTCGAACTTTGAAATGAAACATTATTTTAAGATTTTTTCTTCTAGAACCTCGAGAAAAGTAGCCAACATTTGTGCGTTTCATAAAAAAATAGAAATTAGTTGGTCCAGTTTTGTGAAATCGCTGGTAGAAAGTCAAGCCAAAACTGCTTGACAAAGTGGTCAATTACCTCAACTGCCAGTTTCTCGCAAATCAATGTTGCTGAAGGAATGAGAAAATGTGATAAGACAAATATAACAAGTATGTTGATAGGTACTTACGAAATATTTATTAAGTTTATTAAAGATAACCCTCAAACATACCTAACATCGTGAGAAGCCCATTTGGCATAAGGTCATTTAGGAATGAGGTGTATCCAGCATTTTACGACCGCTTATGGCCGCCACAATATGGCTGAGTTTCTGGTATGGAACATAAGATTTGAAGTTTGGGTTGTGTCGTTTGACGTGTAAACGATCAAATTTGAACGTTTATACGTCAAACGACACAACCCAAACGTCAAATCATATGTTCCCTACCAAAAACTCAGCCAGATTGTGGCGGCCATAAACACTCGTAAAATGCTGGATTCTGCGCCGCATGCGAAGTGAGGTGACTCGCTGTCACTAGTAAGGTGAAAAAAGTCACGGCGAGTAAGCTGATTTTCCGTGCAAATTAAATGTCACCTTACTCGTGACAGCGAGTCACCTCACTTGACGCGCGGCGCAGAATAGTTCTCAATCATTTTTTTTTTGTTTTCGTCCAAATAGCTTTTTGGCATAATGGTCAATTGGCTTAATGGCCATTTGGCGTAACCACCAAACGACCGTTATGAAAAATGGCATTCATTATTTTCTTTTTTACTGTATATTTCATGCCAAATACTGTTTGAAAAAAAAAAATACATATGCCCAATAACTTTACGCCAAACGGCGTTCTGCCGAGAGGGAGGTAGCATCTAATCTTACATCTAATAATCCGCCGCCGTATTGGACAGATAATCCCGCCGTCCAATGTTGGATGCCTGTTTGCTCTGGATAGCCTCCAGCTTGGGACACTCGGTAATCCGATGGCCAAGACCACCGCAGTAGCTGCACCCATCGCCCAGGTCGGCGTACTTTTCCGTCTCGGAGCAAAGTTCGCCCAGGAATGGTGGTACCTTTTGCTTTGCCTCTATCAGCAGATGCTTCAAATCGAGCAACACGAACTGTTCGGTGGCTTTGTTGATGAACGTGGTCGCGAGACCCTTCGAGATGGATCGACCGGTACGACCGATTCGGTGGACGTAGTTTTCGATGTCGTCTGGCATGTCGTAGTTAATTACGTGCTGCACGTCGGGGAAATCAAGACCCTTGGAAGCGACGTCCGTCGCTACGAGAACATCTTTCTCCTGGTTTCGGAATCCTTCCACCGAGCGATACCGTTCCTCTTGATCTTTGCCACCGTGAATGGCGACTGCTTCTACTCCCTTCAGAAGCAGGTACTCGTGGATGGCATCGACGTCTTGCTTCTTTTCGGCGAATATCAGAACCGGGGGCGGCGTCTTCTGAAGACAATCCAAAAGGTATACCACCTTTGCTTCCTGTTTGACATATTCCACGTCCTGGGTGACGTTCATGGAAGCTGCTCCAGCTCGACCTACGTTGATCGTAACCGGCTTGACGAGCGCAGATTTGGCAAAATTTTGAATTTTCTTGGGCATAGTGGCAGAGAAAAGCAGCGTTTGTCTTTGCCCTTTGAAATATGAGAAAATTGTTCGAATATCCTCTTCGAAGCCTGCGTCAATCATTCGATCTGCCTCGTCCATACAAAGGTACCGACAGACGTCCAATTTTAACAGTTTCTTGTCCAGCATATCCATCAGCCGCCCGGGCGTTGCAATAATTATATGACAGCCCTGCTGAATAATCGTCAAAGCATCATTCACTGGAACACCCCCAATCGCCAACGCTGAACGTATTTCTGGCAATCCTGCCATTTGCAAATGCTGACAGTAGTACTGTACGATGTCGAACGTCTGTTTGGCCAATTCCCGTGATGGACATATAACCAACCCATAGGGACCCTCTCTACTGATGAATGGCAGTCGAAGTTCCTGTTCCAGAGAAAACATTACTAATGGCAGCACAAACACCAACGTTTTACCCGAACCAGTGAATGCTATCCCAATCAAATCGCGCCCCGCTAGGACCGCCGGAATCCCTTGCACTTGAATCGGTGACGGCTTCCGGATGTTTCGCTTCTCCAGTGCGGCCAATATCGGTTTGGGGAATTTCATTTCCTTGAATGAACAAATCGGTGGCGGCACATTTTCACCATCGACCAATACCCTCATCTTTTCGCGAAGCCTCTCGTGCGATGCATCAGTTCGGGCAAGGATGTAGCGTGGAGCCTTCCAGCTTGTTTTTATCGGCTCCTCGTACTGGATACCCTTAGCCAATTCAGCCACACCCATAAGGGCTTTTTTCTCCGCTACACTTTCGAGGATTTTCTCTTCCTGAAACAAATTGAATCACCAATTAAAGCATAAACATTCATGTATGTACACCCCAAGTTACTGACCTCTTTGAGCTGCTTCTCGACGGCGCTGATCTTCTTGGCCTCGGCAATTTTCTTCAGCTCCGTGTGCTGGTCCAGCAAACTGATGTTGAACTTCCGTCCCCAGGCTTCCTCGGCGCCTTCCTCATCGTGCTCATTCTCGCTGGATGACTTTCCGACATTGGACGCTTCGGCCGTCAGTTGGACGATTCGTCCCAACTTGAGCAGTTGTTGCTTCTTGCGCTCCATCACGGGCACATAGGGAACGTACTTGTCGTCATCCTCCCGGTCACTTCCGTCCGAATTTTTCTCTTCGCGGCGGTAGCGCTTGACCGAGGGCTGGTTTGATGCCATTTCCGGTTTGTACAATCAAACCGATGCAATTAAGAATGGAATTTAGCGGATTTAACTGATTTTAAACTGTTCACAAAACGATTTCGGGAAACGATTGTTTTGCGACTTGCCTTTGTTTTGGTTTTATTGAGGTTTTTGTTTATCGAAATGACAGAACGTGCAAAGATCATACAAATATTACGTAATATAAAATTTAACGAAACATTTCGAGAAATTTTACACTCAAAATTGCAACATCGACAAAACGGCATAAAACTTACATTATTTCAAGAACAACATGTGAACAGGGCACACAAAATTTTAATAGAAACTAATGCGATCGATTCAACCTCTGATGGTCGTACGGCTACGTGTTGCATTAGCAACTTATCTATATATAAATGAATTTCTGTCTCTCTGACCCTTATAGACTTGGAAACTACTGAACCGATCAGCGTGAAAATTTGTATGCAGGGGTTTTTGGGGCCAGGAAAGGTTCTTATGATGGTTTGTAAGGGGGGGGGGGGCTCCCAAGGCCGGGCACACTCAGCTAGTAATAATATAAAAAAAAAACTTTGCATGGTTCGTCCAGGATTTTACATATCCCTTTCAATACCGAACTTTTGTCTAATTTCTCCTATTCTATTAGCTAGGATTCATATCGCAATTGGGTTCTTTAATTTTTTTAAATGTATCGGTTTTTATACATCATCTTAGAGAGCTTCGTTTCTGAGCACACACTGAAACAAGGACCATAGTTAGGAATACTATTTTGCAGAAAACACTTATTATCAATATAACCACACTTATTACTGTTAAATCTACTATGAATTCAGTTTAGTTTACCACGAATGTTAACAAATTTACTATGATTCTAGCAAAACTACTATGCTTGCTCAAAATGCGTAGTAATTTTGATAGAAATAATAGTAAAATTAAATGAAATTGTTCTATCTATTGGTGAGGGTATTTAATTTAAACCAGCAATACAGTATTTTTGCCAATGGATTTTTTTTCAGAGCAGTGATATTTTTTTCGAAAACATACACAGCAAAAAAAAATGTAATATCGATCAACGTAATTCAAGCTGATGTATGAAATAATGATGTAATAGCAAAAAGTAGATACAATATTACGTCAATGGATGTAATTTTGTTCGCAAAATCGATGTACATCGTACAATGTGATATTACACAACCGATGGATTGACCTGGTTGCAGCAGTTTAGATGTAATATTCAACAACTGTGGGGGGCGACCCCGGCGTAGTGGTAAGCATCCATACCTCTCACGCCAAAGTCATGAGTTCAAATCTCACCCCCGGACAAGTCACGAATGACCCAAGAGTGTTAAAGTGACTATAATAGAAAAAAAAAAAAAATTCTTCACTGTTTGACACTAAACTAACAAACTGACAGCTCGCCAAGGGGTAGGTCACTCCGCACACCAATCTTGGGACAACATTTGTCTCAGTGTGCCGCAAATCTACCGCTGGTGTGCTGATTGTGCCGACAGTGCCGGGCATAGAGCAAACTGCGATTTTTTTTTAAATACGAATAGTATGGTATATTTGGCAACCCGGTATTTCTGACAGCTTGAATGTTTAGGTTTGCAATCGCAACGGCCCCAAACATGTCGAATATCGTGCTCGATAAGGATTCCTTCTACTGACGAATAAAACGCCTCTTCGCCAGCTGGAAGGAACCAGAGTTTTCCCATGATGATTCGCTGCAGAAGGTGGATTGCAGGGCCATAGGCTAGTTCATCACGTGGTAACACAGATAGAAGCAATTGTAGCTGTTGCTTTTTGAGAGGTAACTGCTACTTTATAATAAAATAATAATGTTTACACTAATGACTTTTTTTAACTGTCCCTTAACAGTGTTTCCATCCTACAACCTAGTGATCGCCCGTGTGAAGCTCTGAACAAGCAACTCAGAGAGTCGTGCTGCGGTGCAGGTGATTGAACCAACAACCGGTGGTTCCCAACAAACATTGAATGTTGAATAAGAGCTTATACCCCGTTCACATTACAGCGTATATCACGTGATATACGCTGTCTTGCAATGAGCACTCATACATCTAGTTATCACTGGAAATCCTATGTATGAGTGCACACAAAAAATTATCGTTAGTAAAACTGAAAAAAACATTGGTAGAATTAAAAGTTTTCGTTGGTTCTTTTTGGTAGAAAGTCTTTAGCTTTCAAAACAAAAGTCAGCTAACTGTCAATTCAAAAGTTGCGCGCATGCTACTTTTAAAAGTTGAAACTTTCAAAACAAATTGTAGTTCTGTCAAATGAAAAGCATGATAGTGTTATAATAAAAAGTGGATTATTTTTGTATCGAATCAAACTTTTGTCATGAAAGTTTGGTATAGTTGAAATAACATGTGCCGTTTTGAATCTATAACATAAATATTTTCAATTTAAATTCAAGCATTTTCAACATTACAATATCAGTTTTTATTTCAAATTATTATGAATATTAATTCAATCAATTCTTTTTTTATGAATTTAAAAAATAACCTCAAATATATTTATTAATATCCACAAGAATATACGTATTGTAAAATATAACAAATATATTAATTACGCCCGGTTTCGGTAGACATTATCCATAAGCTCTCAGCGAGTATAAAATCGTTGCCATTGTACTGCGATATCACAAAAATTTCATGGAATCCGGAACCCAGATGGATTTTTCCGCCGATTATTGACTCAGACCTATTGATGACAACGGTAGATTTCATCGTCTGGAAATAAAATCAAGTTGACTTCATGCAATAATATTGATAGTTAAATACTTACAATTTTAACTGTTGATTTCACCGCGCACGAACTACATATCCGGCATAACAGGCAAGAAAGAATATTGCCTTAAAAATATCTAACGAATTTAATTTCTGCTTCGAGTTTTGTTCCACACAAAGAACATGATTTGCAAATTTTGACGTCAAGGTTAAAATTAGCGGCAAATCTATGTCCAGTGCTGCCAAAAACGTTGCTATGACGAAGTGTTTTTGACAGTTAAACAGTTTTCATTTTGAAAATATGCACTTTTAAAAATACAAGTAGAAAATGAAAAATACACTTTCAAAACAAACCAAACACTTTCATTTTGAGAATTTTCGTGCTTAAAACTATCAAAGCTTTATTTTGAAAATACATGGTTTTCATTGATACAATTTTTGTTTTTTGTGTGTGCTCATTGCAAGACAGCCTAATATTACGTGATATAGGCTGTAATGTGAACGGGGTATTATTCAGGCAAAAACATGCTTCTTCAGCTAAAAAATTAATTAATCGATAACTTACCATCTGTCAAATTTTAACCAAAAGTTAAAATAATCCACCAAATGGTTCAGAGCCTCAGTAGTATAATAAATTTCTTAATACCCCGTTCACATTACAGCCTATATCACGTAATATAGGCTGTCTTGCAATGAGCACTCATACATAGGATTTCCAGTGAAAACTAGATGTATGAGTGCTCATTGCAAGACAACCTATATTACATGATATAAGCCATAGTCTGTCCGGGGTATAAAACGTAGGCTCAGCACTGAATGTAACCTACAGTTTTTAGACATTTCAGTGCCAACATTTCAAAGGGGCGTAATTGCATTTGTAAACAATGGCTTTAGCCATCGATTTCTCGCGAATAAAAGCTCACTCATGAAAAATAATGACACCATTAGGTAGAGGAATGTTTCCTCTACCAGTTAGCATTGTTATTTTGAAGAGGTAAGATTTCATTCGCGAGAAATTGATGGCTAAAGTCATTGTTTACAAAAGCAATTACGCCCCTTTGAAATGTTGGCACTGATTTCTAGATAAATATTTCAAAAGGTCCTATCTGCGTTGATCGATTCTCTACATCGACTTTCTCTTTCGTTAATAACTCAGCTGCAAAATCTTTCCCTGTTGTATTTGACGTTTTGGACGCTAGATAAGAATCTCCTTTATCAAAATAAGCGATACAATTAGCGCAAAATCTGTTTGCATAGCAGTGGTTATCAAAAGAGAAAGTCGATGAAGAGAACCGATCAAAATATATAGGACCATGTGAAACTAGATAAGAATATTTCAAATCTAGTCACATGGTTATTTGATCAGTTTTGATCGGTTCTCTTCATCGACTTTTTCTTTTGATAACCACTGCTACGCAAACAGATTTCGCACAAATTGTATCGCTTAGAGCAACCGTACCAGTCGTTGCCATTTACGGCACTATTTTACTTACACACAGCGTTTCCATTTTGGCTTAATCACTCCTCTCCACACCGGTTGTTAGAGTCTTAATTTAAGTTACCGCTTTCCACACCGGAAAAACAAACATTTGACGTTTATTCAAAATAGCGACCGTCTGATGCGTTGCTACCGGGTTGCTAAATTTATGAACTCACTCCTTCCCAAGGTGCGGATTGCTATTTCCCCCACCTGAATAGCAACCCCCGGTACGCAAGTAGCGTTATGGTAGAGGTTGGTAAATGTGCCTTATTTACTCATTGGTACTGTTGCTCTTAGTTTGATACATTATTAATGTATAAATATGTGTAAAAGTGATTCTCCTCTGAGTAGTCTCATCGGCCGTGCAACAACTAGAAAAAAATCTACATCTGGCATCCCTGGGCGTTTGAAATTTGCATGCGTGTACTTTTAGTTTTTACCGAGTTGTGCCCATGATATTCCAAAATTATGAATCTTTCAAATTTGCTGTGCGTGATTTTCAATTTTAATTTAAATCTGCCGAAACGTGCGTTAAAAATTGAATTTATCGAAAGCAAAATCAAATTATGAAGGCTGATAACGAAGGCAAATTTCTAGTAAGTATCTGGTAGTACCTGGAAGCAAAAGTTGTGTTGTAGAATTGGCAAGAACATGTCCCATTTTCAGGACGATCTCCTAACTGAAGTATTTCAGTTTGAATCCAACGTGACCGCACTGAAGAAAGTGCTGGATGGATACACAACGGAAGTCAACGAGTTCCAGCACTTGGACGAAGATATCCAACGACTGGAAACCATCAGCAGTGTGTTCTGTTCCTCACTGGACAAAGCAGTTCAGCAGATGGTTCCCAAGATTATTGAGGGTATTATTTAGGTGCTGGTTTATATAGCCTTTCAATAATTTTGATCAACGGTTTTCAGAAATTGATTTCAAAAACCAACAGTTGGATCACCTCAGTCAGTCCAGAAGAAATTGTGAAAATAAACTAAAGGCACAGCAAGAGAAGATTAGCCAACTCGAATTTGAACTGGCTGCAGCTAGAGAGTAAGACCCGGTTTTCGCAATCAAATAATCATCCAATAAAACAAACTGAACTCAGACATATTTCCAGCCAAGCTCTTGGGCAATTTGAATCCGTCTCCTGGATTGGTTCAATTATGGGGGCAATGCTGTGGAAATCATGCAAGCAGCACGAAAGCGTCAAAGCCCTCATCGGAACCGACAGCCTGCGGGACTTTCTCGGTATGGCCAATTGTGTGCTGAGCAGCTTTGTCGCTCGCCAAGCATCGGGTTCTGCCAGCCTGTCTTCCGAGAGTGAGGATTACAAGTTCCTTGCAACGATCTGTGGAGCTCTCACCAACTTGGCAGCATTTCCCGAAGGGAGGGCACACCTGGCCACTGAAACAGATGGACTGATGTTCGCAAACAATCTGCTACTAGCAGTGGAATTGTTCCGGATGCCGGAAGGAAAGCTTCTGAAGCGGATGTCCCTAACGTTTGTGTACAACATTTGTCTCGAAAACAACGGAGCCAGATTCTTAATTGGGGACGAGAGCCGTTTTGCGAGTGTCGTTCGCTGTTTGGACTTGACCAATTCGGAAGACGTGCTAACATTAACCGTTGGGCTGCTGATGAGATTGATTAAAGCAGTTTCGGATTTTAGGATGAAAGCGGTCATCGCTTCGAAGATTCCCAAAGAGATCACCAAGCAGATTGCAAACACCAACAACCCACAGTTGAAGGAAACAGCCGCTCATCTGCTGGATTTGATCGAATTCGATTGGATTAAGGCGGCTGTAAACAATGTAAATTGAGGTCAGTTTAAGAAAAAAAAAATAACATTTATTTCTGCGATTCACAAATCGGCGGTATCACGGCGTATTTGGCACACAAATCCGAATGTCCTTTCAGGACTCCTTCCTTGATCTGATATAGCGTAAGTTTTTTGCTGATAACCAACTGCTTCCGTTTGCCAATCATTTGAGGGAACAGCTTCAACGTCGTCGCGTAGCTGCAATGACACAAATGGCCAGATTTAAAACTGCATTATGTTCTTTTCATTACAAGTAGCTACTTACTCCTGCAGCTTGATAACCTGATGTTTGGAGAACTGCGTGCTAAACACCAAATCGTACAGGGCATTACCGGACGCGTACTGTTTGATTGCCACCATAAATGCTTCAACGGGAATCTTTTCCACATCTTGACCTTGCGCTCCCAGGCCGGCCTTGCCTACCTTCTTGTGCACTCCGATCGGTTCCAGAATACCTTCCTCGTTGCTTCCGAGTGAACCTCCAGTCCAACCTTGCTTCTGCAGCATGCGGAAACCAATGTTACCCTCATCCAGTTGTTTGTCCTTGTAGTTTCCTTTCTTTTCCTGCGCTCCTGGAATCTTGCGAAAAACATTTCTCCGGGTGTGATACTCTTTCAGTCTCTGTAACATTAGATAACATTATTACTGATATCAGACCATCTAACGTATTCAACCTCAACCTTGACGGTATAACAGTAGTACTGCAAAATCTCACACAGTCGATCCCTGGCCTTGGTATGCGCTTCCTGTTGTTCACCATCGGCCCGGCATATCTCCCGATCATTAATCAAATACCGGAACACCTTTGCTGGCTCATCGTAAGCGCCTTCCATCAGCAATCCGGCTTGTTCGAAGCTAAGCTTCAGCGAAATCTTGTCATCGTTGTACATGTACGCTATCACATTTTTTAACCGTTGCACATCTCGCTTCTCCAGGCCCGGATCCCTGATTGCACTCACCGGTTTATCTGAGTCGGATTTCACGAAATTGGGATAGCTGAATTCTACTGCTTTCTTCGCCGCAACCGCGTCCAACGGTTGACTACTGTCAGCTCCAGCAGCACTATCTGCATCCACCGCGTGGTTCCCTTCGTCGCCATTCTCTGCTACGCTCGGAATATCGCTTTCGATCCAACCGTTGACAAATTGTCGGATAATTTTGCTCTTCCAGCCAGAATTAGACGGTTGCTTTCGTTTTCTGACGCTTTTTACTGCCATATTATGTCGTTTCAATGCCTTGAAATGCGAATCGGATGACGATAGTGCTGCTGAGAAGTTCACAAAGTGTGGGTGGTAGAGTTTGTTTACAAACGTGCAACAACAAAAAAGACAAAACAGTACCAGAGACAACGAACGCTGTGGTATTTACCATTTTACCGACTCGTTCGTTGCTCCCGCATGGTGTAATGGTACGGCTCACATCTAAACACAGAAAAATAAAATTTCCAAATTTTGGGTTTAATTGGGCAATATGTGTTATTCTCAGCTCTCGATGAACATCCTTTTTTGATAACCACTGCTATAGAAATAGATTTCATGGTAATTTTATCACATAGTTTGATAAAAGGGATTCTTATCTACCGTCCAAAATGTTAAATACAACAGGGAATGGTTTTGTAGCTGAGTTATTAACGAAAGAGAAAGTCGATGGAAAGAATCGATCAAAGCAGGTAGGACCACGGGGGCAACAATCAAGCATTTCGTCGTAGCTCACTTCAATGTAATGAACACTCACAAAATATTGAAATCTAAATAGTATAAAAGTTACGCTAAATCGCAACTCTCCGTACCGACGCAAAGGTCGGTATAAAGGGAGAGAATGCAAACTTAGTATAAAAAAGGTTTATGCGTGCCATAGTATAAAATCGAAATATACTTACAATGCATAGGTACGGTTTATTCGAGAGAATGTATTTTTCGCTTCTTTATTTTATTTATTGGAAATATTATTGTTTTCAAATAAAAATTAAAATTGTCTCAGGAAGCTTTTTTAATTAGTTTATTTTTATGAACATTATTCAAAAAAATACTTAAAATTTCGATGCTGCCCAGCAGATCACAGGCGCAGTATAAATCTGCCGGGACAAAGCTCTTTACCAGCTTGAAGCTCCGAAGGGAATCCAGATGTTCTTTTTCCTGTAATTTTAGTAAACACTGACGAATTCCACTCCGTTATTCGGACTTAGTATAATTTTGACAAAAATTTTAATCGAACCAATGTATAAATTTTGAAAAAGCATAAAATGCATAAAATTTAATCTATATTCGTTTTGTAATATTTTTGAGTGAATATAGGGGTTAGGATGACTGCACCAGACTACTATTTCTAACATTCAGCACTGCAATCGAAATGTGAAAGAGTAAGATGAATTGTTCTGTCATACCTCGGTCAGTCCTACCGCTATTAGTTTGCCCAAAAATGTCAGATTGCCCCAAAATTTCAAAATCATGTGAACTACCGTGCGGATTAAATTTAAATGAATTGGGATCTTTAATGGTCGTAAGTTCCGACCGGTATTATCCTCGGATAAAATCCCGATCAAAAATGTCTGGCTGCTTTGATGTCAACATAAGCGTTAATCACCGTCATAAAACCGTACCATTGCTTAACCTTACCATAAATGGTTAAACATTGTTAATAATCCCTGCTAAACTTTAACTGAAATGGTTATGGAACTTTACATTCACGTTTATGTGATAAAGTTTTAACCTTATGTATTGCTGATTGCATCTGAAACTGGACTGTCCCAAAAATGCAAAAAGTGTGATTAAAGTGCACGTTTCCGTCAAATCGTTTTGATGCCTTCTGAGCACTTATTGCATCATAAGGAATAAGTGCACCGAAGACACCAAGACGATTAGACGTAAACTTGCAATTTTATCACACTTTTTACTAAGTGAAAACGCGCTTATTAGTCCAATTTGGTGTGAAATGCGCAATATTATGATCTTTGTAAATGAACCTTACAAAAATAATGAGTACTCTAATAAATAAATGAACAGTAGCCCAGATGGTAGAAGTATCTCACGAATTAATTGGATGATACCCCGAACACGTCGTTATGCTCTTTCTTATCGTTATTTATATTAGAGTATAGTTAAGAACCATTACCATTCAAAATAGTTGTTTTCTCCATAAATTTTCGGAAAGAAAACTATATTAGAATCTTTTTACTTATGGTTTGAGAATTTTAATGGTAATGGTTATGGTAGTCAGAAAGGTCCATGGATGGTTTTGTAACATCGATCAACTTTACAACTCAACTTAACAATTATTTTGAATAGTAAAGGCCCAAACGCAATGTGGGCGGAAGCGGAACGGAAACGGAAAGTTTGACAGTTGTCACAAATGCCATCAAGATGCCTAACCGAAGTCGATTTGATTCTAACAAGTTTTCAATCCGACAAGTAGGCTTACTGAGATCGGGTTTTTCCGCTGCCGCTGCCGTTCCGCTTCCGCTGTCATTGCGCTTGGGCCTTAATGGTTCTTAACAACCCATTATTTGTACACACAAAAAATTATCGTTAATTAAATTGAAAAAACCATTGGTAGAATTAAAAGTTTGCGTTGGTTCTCTTTGGTAGAAAGTCTTTAGCATTCAAAACAAACGTCAGCCAACTGACAATTCAAAAACAACTCAATTTTTACTTTTAAAAGTAGAAACTTTCAAATCAAATTGTAGAACTTTCAATATAAAAACCCATGTTTTTAAATAGACTTCCGAAATGATTTAATTTAAAAGATGGGCATTTTTAACGCAACGATGTATGTTTTCATTTCAAATATGAATTATTTTTCAATTCGACTGCTATATGCTTTGAAGAAAATAACAATAGAAATATTTTATTTAATATATATTCGTTTATTTATATTTTTGATGATGACTGAAAGGGCACTGCATTGTGGAATCTTCCATGAGAAGCATTTTACGCAAATGATACAGTTGGTGATGGTGATGGTGGGAGTAGCCTTTTTTTTTTTTTTATCTAGTTCGTTTATTTGGAAGGCTCAATCGCGTTAGCTTTACGGAGCAGATAATTCATTGTTCACTGTGTGTAACAAGATTCACTTAATTCTATGTCTAGTAGGAGTTGGGCCGATTACTCGCGGCTTACTCGAGGTTAGAAGGGTACATTTTCGAAGGATAGGATCAGGGGAGGAGCTTGGGGTAGGGTTTCGTTGTCTCATCAGAGCGTTGTCGCCAGTATGAACGGTAGTGCTGTTCTAGCTTCGTCCGGAGTTCGACCGGCTATGGTGGGTGACCAGTGGGCGACGATGAGACTCATCGAGACGGGGGGACAAGACAAACAAAAACTAATAAAGAGAGACAAAAGACAAAAGGAATTAAATTCTTATACTAGACATTTGAAGAAAAACATAAACGGACTGCATATAGCAGAGATCACGGGTTGCCAACACGTCTCTGATAGGAACATAGGGTTGTCTTCCTTGGGCCTCGAGGGTATTCAAAAGTCGCTCTCTGGCGGCGTCATTATCCGTACATTGCCAAACTGCGTGTTCGATGTCATCGTAACCGTTTCCACACCGACAGATGTTGCTGTCCACGAGGTTTATTCTATTGAGATGAGCATCTAGCGAGTAGTGGTTGGACATAAGTCTACTCATCACGCGAATGAAGTCACGACTTAAGCCCAAGCCTTTAAACCACGCTCTCGAAGAAACATTAGGAATAATTGAATGTAACCACCGTCCAAGATTTCCAGTGTCCCAATCGGTTTGCCAACTCGAAAAGGTACTCTGACGCACTAAATGGTAAAATTCATCGTGTGAAATTTGCCTGTCATACAATTCGCCTTCCTGCGCGCCCACCTTTGCGAGAGAGTCCGCCTTCTCATTGCCTGGGATTGAGCAATGTGAGGGGACCCATACAAAGGTAATCATATATGATCTTTCGACCAGCACACACATCTGCTCCCTTACCTTTGAAAGGAAATAAGATGAGTGCCTACTTGGTTTCATCGACCGAATAGCCTCAATGGAACTGAGACTATCCGAGAAGATGAAGTAATGGTCTGCGGGCATGTTGGAAATCATCCCCAATGCGAAGTTGATTGCTGCCAGCTCAGCAACAAAAACGGAACAAGGTTCCTGAAGTTTGCGGAAGGCGCTAGAGTTTTCATTGAAGACACCGAAGCCAGTGGATCCATTGAGACGGGACCCGTCTGTAAAATATCTTTTCATGCAATTGACTTGTTGGTACTTTTCAGTAAAAATACGTGGGATAATAATAGGTCGAAGTTGATCGGGAATCCCATGAGTTGCTTGTTTCATGGTCAGATCATATTCAATTGAGGAACTGCGATTGGTGAAGTGAACACGGTCTGGAGTATAACAAGGAAGACACATATCTGATGATATGTAGTGGTGGTAGATTCTCATAAATCGAGATTGTGTGTTCAGCCCAAGAATTTCTTCAAAATTAGCAATTATAAGTGTGTTCGTCACTCCGCATTTGATTAGTATTCTGAGAGAGAGCTCCCAGAAACGGTTCTGGAGGGGTGTTACTCCTGCCAGAACCTCGAGACTCATGTTATGTGTTGAGTGCATACAGCCTAGAGCAATACGCAGACAACGATATTGAATTCGTTCCAATTTTATTAGGTGACTTTTTCTTGCCGAGAGAAAGCAGAAAGAGCCGTACTCTAGAACAGAGAGAATAGTTGTTTTATAAAGCGTTATGAGGTCTCCCGGATGAGCACCCCACCATGTGCCGCAAATTGAACGGAGAAAGTTGATCCTCTGCTGACATTTTTGCTTCAAATACGTAATATGGGCATTCCAAGTGCACTTTGAATCAAACCAGACCCCAAGGTACTTGAAAGACAATGATTGGGTAATGTTTCTGCCCAAAAGATTAAGCTGCATTTGGGCTGGGTGCCGCTTTCGAGTAAACACTACCAGTTCAGTTTTCTGCGGCGAGAATTCGATCCCTAGATTCATAGCCCAAGAAGACAAGTTATCTAAGGAATTTTGCAATGGTCCTTGCAAGTCCACGGCATGTGGACCTCTTACGGAAACCACACCGTCATCTGCAAGTTGTCTTAGCGTGCATTGTTCTGCCAAACAGTTGTCGATATCTTTGACGTAAAAGTTATAAAGAAGAGGGCTGAGACATGAGCCTTGGGGCAGGCCCATGTAGCTAATTCTGGAAGTTGTCAGTTGTCCAAGGGAAAAGTTCATTTGCTTTTCTGACAACAAATTGTACAAGAAATTATTTAAAATTCCAGAAAGTCCACATCTGTGCAGATTGTCTG